AGAAAATGGACTAATACAGCACATTAGCTAGACAAAGGGAGATGAAGTGTGTGGTACCTAGACAGGGTCTAGTCGGTGCTCAATAAAAATCACAGGGCAACACACACACACATCCCTTTACAGAGCAGGAAGCAGAGAGATACTGCATATCACAGTTGATAAACACCAAGCAGGAGGACGTGATCCGGAGCTAAAGGGTGAGTCAAGCAGGCCTTGAGTGCCAAGCTAAGCCACGATCAGGGCTTCTGAGTGGAGGAGGATGGTGAACCGGGTTCCCCTTTGGGAAGATAATCTTGGCAGCCAGGAAAGAGGGAGAAGATGGAGGAAACAGCTGGTGCTTTCCCTCCAGCTGGGAGGTGAGATCCGGGCCTCCCCTTATCCCTGAGGCTTTGCCTGGACTCCTGGAATTTTGCTTGAGGTCCTGCTTCCCTATGGCCCTGATCTCTTCCCCAGGCCCATGGGTACCAGGTTGCTAAGCATTTGGGGCCTGGCTGTGTTAATGAGCAGCATCCTGCCATACCAGCCAACCAGGCTGGGAGAGAACTTCCTCAACCCAGCTGCTCGTGTCCTGGAAAGAAGCCCAACTTGGTTCAGAGACAGGTAAGGGGGAGAGGCAGCCAAGGGGCCGGTGCTGGCCTCCCGGCCTGGCTGTCGTCCTGGGGACTGGGAGTACAGGAGCAGTACAGGCTTCCAGCCAGGCAGACACCCAAATCACAGAGACCAAGGTCTAGCTCAAGTGGACGGACTTGGTGCTCTTGGATTCTGTAGCCCTCCTCCCAACAATCCCGCCACATGGAATTCTGCAGCCCACCAGCCCCAGCATTGATGTTCTGTGGTCCACAGCCCTCGAGCTTGCAGACCGCACTTCTAGAATGGAAACTCAGGAGAATAAAGTCGGCTAAGGCAAAGACCCAGCTGCTCTTCCCCATCCCCAGCACTCCTGCTTCAAGGGAGAGACCACGGCCCCCAGAAGCGGAAGGGATAGTGGGCTGCTCTCTGGAAATGGACCGCCACAGCAAGCCCACCCTGGAGGCTCCATTAGTGTTCGCAAGGACCGGGAGCAAAGGAGCTGCATGGGGTTCGTCCAACACAGCAGCGCTTTGGGGCAAATAAGGCCATTCTGGCTACTTGAGAGCTTGGGGTCTGGTGAGGGGGAGCCAGATACTAAGAAATGATTACATCCCTGAATCAGGGGAAGGCAACTGTGTGTCTGGGAGACACAGCTCCCTGGAGAAAGGACGGGCCCGCTGGGCTTTGAAGGCTGAGTAAGAGGTCACAAGCATTCAGCATGGGGAAGCACCAGCTCAAGTCAAGACATACTTAGGAAAGTCACAGTGTCTTCTGCTGGAGGGGACAAGGCACTTCCCTGTTGGGACATGGGCAACCAGTCTAGACGTAGAGTCACGGGAAAGAGGTCAGGAAGAGGAAAGGGTAGATGTGGATCAGAGCAGCATGGAGATTAGACTTAGCTTTGGATTTGGAAGCAGGTGACAGGGATGTTTAGCTGTTGTCAGTCTAGGCAGCACCCTGAGGAGCCCGTGGGCAGTGCTGCCTTATCTCCCTGGGGCCCAGACCAGGCCTGCGAGGGGCGGAGGAACCTGAGGCTCAGAGGGCAGAAGTGAGTGCCCCAGCTCGCACACCAGGAGAGGGGCCCAGCAAGAGATGGCACAGATGGACGGCCAAGTTCAACTGTGAGAGTCAGACTGGCCTTAGATGCCTGCTGCACCCTGGCTCTGCCGTCTCAGAGAGCCCCGACTCCTCACGTAGCTTCCATTTCCGTCAGCAAGTGCAAAGGACAGTATGTGACTCGGGAGGCTCCTGCAGCCACAAGCAAGACGCTCTGTGGGAAGCCCCTGCCCTGGTCCAGGCCCGTTGGCTAGAGCCACAGATGATATTAGGATGATGACCAGTTTGAGGTAGGGTTAAACACAGGACTCAGGTTCCAGGCGGGAATGTCCTTCTTTCTGAGTTCACCCTCACACTTGGGCTCCCTGGTGGACTTGAATTTGCAGAAGGGGTTTGTGCTTCTAACAAGGAACAACAATGGTCTAGTCCCTGTGGACTCTAGTGACCACGGGCTTGAGATTTATCTTTGCAGATAATCCTCAGTTCTCCCAGGCACAGCCTACAGGAGCATTTCAGTCTGAACAACCAGCCTAAACTACACCACTGTCCACCACTCAGTCCCCCCGCCCAAAAGATGCTGCCTACTCAGAAAAGCTCAGGTGGGAGGTTAACGGCAGGTATAGAAACCAAGGGGAAGAAACAACTGTTTCAAAACAGGCAGAGGACTCCACTAGACACTTTTCCCAAGAAGACACAAAATGCAAATTACTAACAAGAACTTGACCAACGACTGTTGCTCATTATCAGGGAAGTGCAAATCAAAACCACAGAGAAATCCCTCTCTGAGCCCATTGGCATGACTGTTTCAAAAACAAAGGAACAGAATATCACAAGCCTTGGTGAGGAGGTATGAAATGGACCCCTGTGCGTCCCTGATGGCAGCAATGCTGCCGGGGAAGATGGCAGAAAACAATTAGGCATAGATTTACCATGTGACCCAGCAACTCCTCCTCCAGGTACAGACCCCAAAGGATTGAAAGCAGAAATTGGAGCAGATGCCTGCACCCCCATGTTCACAGCATCTTTTGCCTAACAGTCAAAAGATGGAAACCATCAGCCAGTGAATGTATAAAGAACAGACAATGGAATATTATTCAACCATGAAGAGGAAGGGAATTCTGGCACACGAAGTGAATTAAACAGACACAGAAGGACAAATGCCCTCTGGAACCCTGTTTGAGCAGCGCCTGGAGTAGTCAAACTCCCGGAGACCGGAAGTGGCAGGGTCTTTGCCAGGGGCTGGGGGAGGGATATTGGGATTATTATTTAATGGATCCAGACAGAGTTTCAGTTTAAGAAGAGCAAATGAGATGAAGTTGGTGAGGGCTGAACCATGATGTGAACCTATTCAAACCCCATCACTGTTGACTTCAATGGTGGAAATGTTAAAAATTCATGTTATGTATATATTACTACAATTGTTTTAAAAAGACAGACCATGTGGGAAGATGCAGGCACAGCAGGTCGGGGGGGGAGATAGCTTGGTCTCCCGGGGCCAGGCTTGCCCCTGTGACTGCAGGAGTGGACACACCCAGAGGCCTGAGCTCCAGCTCCACCCTCAGGGTGGGCCTGGGGCAGGTCTGCCTCGCTAGAAAATCCGGAAGCTGTCTGGCTCACAGATTTCCTCCAGCTCTGCCTTGTGGGCTCTGCCTTATTAGGAAGGCTTGGATGGTGCAGAGGAGGAGGTAAAGGGAACAGAAAACCAGACCTTCACCACCCTGGACATTCCAGGGAGGCCACAGGACCCTTTGACTTGGCAAAGAATCGGCCTCACAGGAATCATGACATCAGTGAGGGTCCTCGTTGCAGATCCTGCCCTCAAACTGGGTCAGTGAGGACAGTGCAGTAAAGAGTCCACTTACAAAGAGATGGACAAGGACAAGGGAACCAAAGGACAGGGTTGTACAGCGGCTTGCAACAGCAAGACCCTTAGTGCCACAGTGCTTACAGGAACCCTGAGAGAGTCTGTGTAGAGAAGGTCACCTTAGGTAAGGACAGTCCTGCAGGAAGGGAGCCGGGGAGGGGGGAGGGGTACCCAGACCTCTGTCTCCATGCCAGGGCCTCCCAGTAGCCAAGTCCAACAGGAAGCCAGAGGACAGGGAGCGTGGTAAGGTGCATTCAGGCCACTGCAGCCAGAGCAGTGTGGCAAAGGCTGACAGGGAAGTCCCAGGAGCAAATGGGTGGGGGTCGGGGGTGGTGGTGAATCCAAGTGAATCACCACCACTCTGCACTTGGCCTGAAAGGGTGGCCAGGAAATGTCCCCTTGGCTAGTCCCCACCCTTTTTCAATGGCTGATCTTAGAGGTGCTGGGGAAGGAGCCTTGGGCTCTTTCAGGCATGAAGGGAGAGGTGCTGTTTTGTTGAAGAGCCTCCACTTACTGACAGAGAGCAGTGGCTGGGCCTGCGCTTCCCACCCATGCACTGTGTTCTCATTCACTCACTCGGGACGAGTTGGGAGCCACTAGAAAAAGAAGCATGGAGCAGCCTACCAGCAGCAGCAGCCCTCACCCTGGCAGTTGTGCTTGGAGTCGGGCAGCCCTGGGCTTCGCCTGCCAGCTCCCAGGCTGTGGGTTGCACCCTCTGAGAAATCGGATCAATTACCTCCCCCTCCCCACTAGTTGTCTTAAGGATGCTGAGTAAAATTCTCTGAAAAGCACTGGGTGCAGAGCTCCTGATGCAGAGTCAGAACTCGTCAGGGGGGATGCAGCGCCTTGTTAAGCATCCCCTGGTTGGCTCATGTTCACCCATCTGCCCTTCTGAGCTGCTTTCTTTGGGATGATGTTGTAGTGAGTTTGTTTCCGTTTTCCTCTTCCTCTCTCCCCACCTCCCAGACCTGGAAGACCCGGTCAGGAGCCTCTAACTCCTCCCTGCCACCCCAGGGCTTGGAGGGGGCTCACAGTGACCAACATTCATACGGTGGCTGGATCCTGCCCATGGCTGGCTTGCATGCACTCGAGCTCGAGAACAGCCCGACTGGTAAACGCAATGCTGGGCCCATTTTACGGATGAGAAACCCAGCCCAGGAGGCAAAGAGCCGGCGCGGGGATGGAACCCGGCAGTCGGGCTCTCCGAGCCGGCCCAGCACTGCGGCTCCCGGAGCAAGCAAGTGCGAGAACGCGTCCCGGGGCACTCCAAAAACGGACGGCGGAGGCCAGTCCCCACCGCCCGGGGCGCGAGTGCGGCGCGCCGGGACAAAGGCCGGGCGGGGGCCGGACGGGGGCAGGACGTGGCCCGCGGGGGCCGCGCGCCGGGCGGGCGCGGGGACCTTTAAGGGGCGGGTACAGGGCGGGGCCTCTCTAGGGGCGGGGCCTTCCGGGGGCGGGGCCTGGACTGCGGGCGGCTGGAGAGCGCGCGGAACGAAGGGCGGCGGCGGCTCGTGCTCGGCGCGGGCTCCGGATCGCGCTCGTCCCCGCTCCCGGCTCCCGGCTCCGGTCCCTCAGCCCGCCCCGGCCCCGCGGATCAGCGGCCATGCCGCCGCGGCGCAGCATCGTCGAGGTGAAAGTGCTGGACGTGCAGAAGCGGCGGGTGCCCAACAAGCATTATGTGAGTGCGGCGCGGCCCCCACGCCCCCTCGAGCCCCTGGCGCCCAGGGCCAGCGAGAGCCCCGGCCCGGGGACGCCCGCCCGCCCGCCTCGTGCCTGGTTCCGCGCCGTCAGCCCGACCCCGCTCCCCTCCCCCTCGCCTGCTGGCCCCGTCCCCTCCTCCTCCCTTCCTCCCGCCTGGTCCCCTGCTCCCCTCTGCCGCTCCCCTTCCCTTTCCGTCTCCCCCAGCCCTGCAGCTCCGGTGCTGCCCATCCGTGAAAAAGTCCGGCCCCAGCCGGTGTAGGGGACAGAGAGGAAAAGGGAGAGAGACAGAAGCGCCTGCTCGCGGGTCGCCCCTCATTGTCCAGAGGTACCTGACCCGCAGTGCCCAGCCAACAGGTAGCCCCTCTGAGCATTGCCGCGTTTGGCCCCATCCTTTTGGGACACCCAGCCTGAGCGAGCTAGATCTCTGGAAATGGCTCATTGGAGTCACCCCCCCCCCCCATAACTTCCGTGTAAAACTATAGGAAAGTTTTCTCTGGGAATCTCCCTCTGTGAAATGAGAGTCGTGTTTGGAGCTGGCGAGGACTAGAGAAAATGGGCCAGTAGTGTCCTTTTGCAGATGGGAAGGGTGAGGCTCTGAGGCTGCGGGTTCCAAATCACAGAGCTGTGTTCAGGCCTTCCCTCCTTCTGGAAGGTGAGCTTGGGGCTCCTGGTGACCTGCAGGTGGAAAGAGGCCATGCCTGGGTCCAGGTAGCCCTGAGACCACCTCAGAGCTTCTGGGTGGAGAGATGATAGGTGGAGAGGAGGTCTTGGGGAAGGCCTCCCTCCAGGAGGAAGGGGCTGTGGTGTCTCAGGGGATGAAAAGTGGGCAGCAGAGAAGTTAACCAGGAAGGGGAAAAAAAGCAAGAGGGAGGAAAAGAATCCTAACAAAGAAGTGGAGAACAATGACTAGAAAAGGGCGTTGGCTGTCTAAATTCGGCTCCTGGGCCTCCCTGGAAGCCCTCTTTGCATCTATTTTTTAAAGAGACTCATCCTTACAAAGCAGAGCTACATGCCTTCCATGAATAGCCTATAAAATTCTGGAGATAGTGGGGAATCCACTGTGCAGTCTACAAGAAAGGGCGTGCTGTGCGGGTCTGTATTGTTATTGGCTGGGCAGCCAGCTATTCAGCCCTCAGCTGGGCGGTGGGAAGCTATTTCCTGGACCTGTGGCATCTTTAAATAGAGTGAAGTTTCCCTCGATCCAAGCTGAGCTAAATTGTCTCCCCCCTCACACCAACCTTTTTTTTTTTTTTTAACTGCTTCAAGTGCTGCCAAATCTTGGTTTCTTGTTGGAGCCTGTTGAGTGTGTTAACTGAGTTGCCTTTTTGGTATGAAGATAGTTTTCACCAACATGGCAACAGAAGAAGTCTGGAATTCTCCATGCTGCCTCCCCCCCAGATCTGTGAGCTAGTCGAAGGGAATAGATACAGCCACTGAGGACTGGGCATCATCGTCCTCCCTCCTGTCCTCGCCTTTCACATGCATCAAGAGACCGTTCTCATGCCCCCTTGACAGATGAGGAAACCAAGGTTCACAAAGTTGAGGTTCTGTGCCTGAGGTCACAGTCAGGAGCAGAGCAAGTATGTCAATCCAGGTCTGTTGGGCTCCCAATTTGCTGTCCTATCAGATCACACAGCCTCCCAGATCCCAAATCCCCACACTTTCCCTGGGCAAAGTCCACTTGAAAACTGGGAAATCGGCCATGTCATTTGAGATAAGCCAGAAGTCCTCATTCTCTGCTCCAGCAGATGCCTTCTTGCTACACGTTTTTTGAAGGGTTTGCAGGTTTGGGGACATCTTGCTAAGCTCTCAGCCACTCTTTAGGGGTCCCTTGAAGCAAGTCTGTGTTCCCACGTTTATTGGCTCAGATCTTGGTCTCCCAGCTTGCTGTGTGTGCTCTGCGCCTCGGTTTCCTCATCTGTAAGATGGGGACGATGGTGCCCTCTTCCAGGGTAGCCACCCTGTGACTGGCAGGAATGGAGTTCCTTAGCTCCCTGCAGCCTGCCTGCCGCATGGCGGCCACGTCACTGTGCTTGGGAGCATGCCGAAGTCACATGGGGGAGGGGAGTCCACCAGGGACTTGTTTCTCTGCATGTGGTTTTAGTCACTGGTGTGATTCAAGGGGCCATCTCCCTTCTGGCCAGCGTGTGGGGGCGACGTGGCTGAGCTGAAGCTGAGGCATCTGCAGGGACAGAGAGTTTGGTGCCATGAGAGCAAGGGGTTCAGACCTGGAGGGACTGGAGTACCACCACCCTGGTTCCCGAAGCCTGCCCCCATCCCCACCCTGAAAGGAGCCGGTGAGGGAACAGCTGTTAGAAGGCTTGGACTTGGGCTCCCATTTAGTGTCCCTTTAGGAAGCCACCGTGAAGAGAGCGTGAGCTGGGGGCTGGGCAGTCCTGGTCTCCACCACTTTCTGCTGTGTGACTTTGCACAGGTCGGTTTGCCTCTCTGAGCCCTGGCTTTCATGATCTGCAGATTGTGAACACTGCTGGTTTCCTCTGGGACCAAGTTTCTCGACCTTAGCACTGCTGACCTTTGGTCCAGGTTGTTCTTTGTTGTGGGGCTGTCCCTGGCATGAAGGGTGTTTAGCAGAAGCCCTGACCTTACCACCGCTCACCAGGCCCCACTTCTTCAAACTTCCACCCGCCCCATGTGGTATGAACTTCCACCACAGGAACCCCTGGGGGACACTCTACCTCCAAACCTCAGTAAGGAGCGTCTGTCAACAGAATATGCAGAGCAGCTTCAGAGTGTCCAGTCACCACATACCCAGTCCCCCTTCCTGTCCCCCCATTTGCAGCTACCTCAGCCACCATCTGCTCATCAGCAGTCACCTCGGAGGGACAGGTCATGGTGCTGCAGATGTCTTTAGAGAGCATGCCTGGAGCTCAGGTCTGGCCACAAGGGCTAGCCACCTGTTCCGCCCCAAGTGGCATCTTCCCCATGTCGGGATGGCGTCCTCTCCAGCCCCAGCCCGGCCTGCCTCACTTGTGGGCAGAGGCTGCCTCAGTGTGCCCAGGGCTACAGGCCAGGTGTGGGAAATGCAGGGGCTGACACTCCCGGGGGGCCTCTGAGACCCCAGCAGTGAGGCTGAATTGACGACGATTTTGTTTGAGGAGGGCTCCCCTGGAGCTGTGGCCTGCTGCTTCTCTGCCCACACCCACCCTGCCCACCCCAGAGCCCCAGGGTCTGGGAGTGAATGGGAAGGGGCATCTGAGTGTGGCATCCTCTGGAGTCCCTGATTGTGCCCTTCCAGCTCAGGGAGGAGGAGGACTGTGGGACTGGGTTGTCTGGGTTGCCGGTCTCCGGCACTGGCGGGTACCTGGGGGCATTTGGTTTAGCAGAGTCTGGTCTGCGGGGCCGGAAGAGGCTGCCTGCTCTGCACGGGAGCCTTCAGGTCACGGGGAGCAGGACGGGTCATCCTCCTGGAGCCATCCGAGGACAGCTGAAGTGCACCCACTGCTGTGGCCAGGCACCGATGAAGCTGTCTCTGTGCTCAGTGGTCACCATGGCCCTTTAAACTGGGCATGTTGTATTATATGAATCCAGTGCTTCAAATACATAGAACAGAGACCAAAGTAAACACAGGTCAATAGCCTTCACTCCTCCTCTTGGCCAAAGCACGACGTCTCCCATGTACGCTGCAGATCCGTTTTACTTTTTAAGAAATAAATCATTAAACTGGACATGGTGGTGCACATCTGTAATCCCAGCTACTCAGGAGGCTGAGGCCGGAGGATTGCAAGTTCAAGGCCAGTGTCAGCAACTTAGTGAGGCCCTGGATCAAAATAAGAAATATAAAGGGCAGGGGCTGGGGCTCAGTGGTTAAACGCCCCTGGGTTTAATCCTCCGTACCCCAAAATATACACAGGTAGAGACCAACAGACAGGATTTTTCTTTAACAGCTTTATTGAGGTCTCATTTACGTGCCACAAGAAGAACTCACTGATCTTTTTCGTGGGTTTCTAGAGCTCAGTAGCCATCACCACAATCTGGTTTTAGGACATTCCCATCACCAGCCTCCCCAGGTGCCTCCTGCCCCTTCAGGAGCCCCTCTGCCCAGCCTGCATCAGTGTCTTTGCCTCCCACCTGCCGACCAGCCACCTCAGATTGTCCCGAAAGTTTCAAACCGTGCGAGAGCAGCTGGCTTTAAGAGCTGTGTTAGCCCCCCTGTCCTCAGCGGCTCCAGAGCTGTCCCCTCCTCGGCCCCCATGCCCTAGCAGCCAGCCTGGGGCTTCCTCGAGCCTGTTCAGGGACCTGCTGGGGCCTGGGCTCTGTGTGTGTCTGTGTGCAGATCTGTGGCCTTGCTTCACCCTGAGCTGTCAGATGTCTCAGTCACACCAGTCTGCTCCGTCCTCACGCCTGCATCAGTCATGTCAGTCCTCTTCTGTGAATTGCCCAATGTCACCCTTCTCCCCTTTGCCAGTGTGGTTTGTTACTTTCTTCTCTAGTTTTGAAGGATCTATTTATATATCAGGATTCTAATCTCTCAGGTAGTTTCCTTAGGGTTCTTTCTTTCCCCTACGGAGCTGGGGGCTCAGAGGTAGAGGCACATGTCTGAGGTCACACAGCAAGGAGTGGCTGCAAGGGAACTGAGCTAGATGGCTTTGTGTTGGTGGAGACAGAGCAGCCCTGCCATCCCACCACCCAGCCAAGTGACCGTGGATGGCTCACTTTTGCTCCTTGGCCCCAGTTCTCCCTTATGTGAGATGTCAGAGCCACCCTGGGCCCTTCCCTGATCCCCCAGTCCCTCCAGCCTAGAGAGACACAGTGAGCGTCACTGCCAACCTCAGTCACCCTCACCCGGGGAGCTCTGGGTGGGTGGTGGCCTGGGGTGCCAGGTGGGCCCGGCCTGTGAAAGCTCCCTCCTTGGTTAACCAGGCTCTGGGAGGCTGCAGTCACCGTGCCACACAGTGGCGTCCCAGGCAGATCTGAGTGTTCGGCTTTCCCGTCCCCGTCCCCGACCCGTCCCCGCCC